AGTAGTAGCAGTAGTAGCAGTAGTAGCAGTAGTAGCAGTAGTAGCAGTAGTAGCAGTAGTAGCAGTAGTAGCAGTAGTAGCAGTAGTAGCAGTAGTAGCAGTAGTAGCAGTAGTAGCAGTAGTAGCAGCAGCCCACGCCTAAGCTGGAGGGTTGGATAACAGAATTGGGGTGCTGGATAATGTCTCCCAATTTTTTTAGTGATCTAGCCTCGTAGCTTATTTCTATGCATGTCGCATCCCTGCTGTGCTGCCCCCCAATGCCCCTCAGCCGGAGGAACTGCAGAGCCCGATCCATGCGCCGTTGGCTGAATGAAACGAAACGAAACATTCGGCGTGGGTCGTTTGTCTTAAGAAAATAGTTCTGTGGTGTGACTGGACCCTTGTTTTTCCCATCCTGTGTCTTAGTAGACTGGAATCACGTTGGCCAAGAACTCGTGGCGGCGGTCCGGCTGCATGGGTAGCGTCCTTGAAGCATTTTTCCGCCGGGTCTACCCACAGCTGCGTTATCAATCTCTGATGCGATAATCGGAAGGACCTCAACATTTCTCTCGCCATTTACAGCCTTTCAGCAAGGGTCTAGAATCGCAACGCTGCCGCTGCCGTAGGCGAATGCCGATTCTTTCCCGTCCCGTCTTGATTCTCTTCCTTCTCCTTCCATCTCATCATCCCTTCTTAATCGTCAGCTCAGTCTTAGTAACGAGAGTGTGAGAGAGACTTGCCAAAGATCTTCCACGCAGAGAGCACAAGATGAATACTCTCACAAGGGCAGCAGCCTTACTCGCTGCCTCCCTGGGCCTTGCCAGCGCGGCTACTGTCAATTACGACTTCAACATTACTTGGGTCACGGCCAATCCAGACGGAGCGTTCTCGCGTCCCGTCATTGGCATCAACAACCAATGGCCCATTCCTCGGATCGAGGCCAATGTCGGCGATCGCATCGTCATTCACGTCAACAACCAGCTTGGTAACCAATCTACTTCATTGCATTTTCACGGCATTTACCAGAATGGCTCGACGCACATGGATGGCCCTGTGGGCGTGTCACAATGCCAGATTCCTCCGGGATTTTCTTTCACGTACAACTTCACGGTAAATCTCTTCTCCTTCTACTCTCTCTATCAAAAAGCAGCATCTTAACCAATTCGCTACAGATCAATCAGCCGGGCACATATTGGTACCACTCTCATCACAATGCCCAGTATCCCGATGGTCTCCGCGGTCCTCTCATTGTTCATGACCCTAAATTTCCTTACCAAAAGGAGGTTGATCATGAACTTATTCTAACTCTCTCAGACTGGTACCATGATCAAATGGCCACTCTTCTCCCAACCTTCCTGACAAAGAACAACCCAACGGGTGCTGAGCCGGTGCCCAAGGCCGTGCTCATGAATGAAACTCAGAATTTGACCATTTCCGTGGAGCCTAACAAGACTTACATGTTCCGCGTTCTCAACATTGGCGCCTTTGCGGGACAGTACGTCTGGATAGAAGGACACACGATGCGCATCATTGAAGTTGATGGCATTTACACCGAGGCCGCTGAAGCTGAGATGGTATATATCGCTGCTGCTCAGCGAGTTAGCTTCCTCCTTACAACTAAGAACGATACCTCTGCCAACTTTCCCATCATCTCTAGCATGGACACTGTAAGAAAACTGTTTGCAAATATCATCACTTTATAACGATACTAAGCTCTCATACAGACTCTGTTTGATGCTTTGCCGGAGGATCTCAACTACAACGTCACTGGATGGCTGACATATGACTCCAATGCTAACTTCCCCGAAGCCGCCATCATCGACGAACTCAACCCCTTTGACGACATGGACCTAGTGCCGTACGACAAGATGAAGCTGCTACCCGAGCCAGACCAAGTCGTGCAGCTCGACATCATCATGGACAACCTCCGCGACGGAAAGAACTATGCCTTCTTCGACAACATCACCTACACTCAGCCCAAGGTGCCCACTCTCTACACGGCCCTCTCCACGGGCGATCTCGCAAACAATCCCGCCGTCTACGGAGAGTTCACCCGCTCTTTTGTCCTGCAAAAGGACGAAATCGTCCAAATTGTCGTCAACAACCTCGACTCTGGCCGTCATCCTGTCCATCTGCATGGCCACGCGTTTCAGGCCATTCACCGCTCCGAGGAAGAAGCCGGTACGTTCGCAGATGAGAATCTCTCCGAGAGCGATTTTATAAGCGTGCCTATGCGGAGAGACACACTCGTCATGTGGCCGAATGGCAACATCGTCATGCGTTTCAAGGCTGATAATCCTGGTATGTCTTCCCTCTTCTCCAATGTTGATAATATTTCTCTTTTTTTGCCCCTTTGGCTATCGAGCGTAAATACTAAGTCCATCGTTTTCCCTCTAGGCATTTGGCTTTTCCACTGTCATCTTGAGTGGCACGTCGCCTCTGGCCTTCTCGCCACCTTTGTCGAAGCCCCTCTCGACATCCAGAAGCAACTGACCCTTCCCGACGACCACCTCTCCGTCTGCGCTGCTTCCAACACCCTCACAAAGGGCAATGCCGCAGGCAACACTGTCGACTACTTGGACCTCTCCGGGCAGAATAAACCTCCGGGCACAATCCCTGGCGGGTAAGAACCCCCCAACCTCCCTCTTCTTCAGTAAAGCCCTTTTGGCTGTCGACGACTTACTAACGCAAAGACTTGACAGTTTCACTCCCCGCGGCATCGTCGCCCTCGTATTCAGCTGCATCACCGGCATCCTCGGTGTTATTGTCGTCGCTTGGTACGGCCTCTCTACACCCATGGAGATTGTACCACTCGAAGTCTCTCATATCATGGAAAAGTCCGACGCTCCTCAGACAACCAGTGGGGTCGCTGGCGGTGCATTCAAGGACGAAGTTTCATCGAGCCATGCCGCTATCGGCGAGGGTTCTTCTTCGAGAAGGTGAAAATTGATGTGTATAGACAAAAGGGAAACATGAAGTTTGTATTATCTTGTCATATATATATAAATTTATGAATAATTAAACGTAAAAAAAGAAATTTGTTGAGATACCCCCGAAATTAAACAAATCCTTTGCTATCAACTGTCATCGTGAGAAACCTGTAAACCCCATGTGACTCAATAGTCTCGTTTGTATTCAACGAATCGGTTTTATACTAATAATCTACTAATATTAAGAAATCATAATGAAAGAACAATAAAGATATGTATGTACAGCAGTAAAACAGGGGAAATTAAGAAAAAAGAAAAAAAGACAGAAAAGGCAGGCAATACAAGACTTGATCATGTTCTGCCAGCAAACAAACCAGAATATAGATGAACAATAGCATCCCGCAAGGCCGCAAAGCCAGGCTGAAGAGGAAAATTGCATAGCTCTTTGTTCCCAGTATTTCTCCAGATTTTATGGTTTTAACGTAATTTTATTCCCTCCAGCCCATCCGTTCATAGGTACGATGTGGAATGAGACAAGTGTCACGACCGCCACCCCTATTTGTCAAGCCCCAGTTGCGCCAAGCCATGCAATATTAACAGCTGCTTGCCGTGAAAGCTGAAAGAGAGGCATCACGAAGGCTAGCAGTGCGTAAATTTTCACCAAAACAACACCAAAGTTGCGATACAAAAGGACTGAATTGGGTTGCTCCGCCCAATCCAAGTCCTAGATGGTCAACAGTCGCCAAATCAAAGCATTTTGTAAAGCAACAATTTGCCACTGTGTGTCGTTATCGCGACGACATTTGACGGGTTATTCTTCAATTCGGCTCGATTAGGCCGTTCTCGCCTTCTTGCCCAGGCCCTTGGCTTTCCGTGACTTGATATCCACCTCAGCAAGCCACCTGCTTGCCTTGACCAGCTGCACCACGTTGATGATCTGCTTGGCCAGCATGATAGGAAAGCTAATGCCGGTGATGACCCAAGGGAGGGTGGAATCCATCTTGTTGGCTCGGGCAATCTCGAGGGCAGCGGCGCTGAAGGGGTCGGGGAACAGTTGTCGGAGCAGGGATGTGTTGACGGGCACGCCTGGCTGGATCAGACCACCGCTGGTCTCCTCCACGCTCTTGATAAGGTGGGGCGAGAGGAGCGGCGAGGAGAAGGACAGGAGATAGAGCGCAATGAAGAAGACTTCATTGAAGAGGCAGAAAACGAACAGGACGGTCTGGAACGGTATTGGGTCAGCTTCATAACCTTTGATGGGCGGGGGTTAGTCTGTGTCAATACGAACCCTGTTGGTATAGTATAGGTTCAGAAGCCAGCTCTGGCTCTTGTCGATGTTCTTGTGGCTAGAGTCGGAACCGCCAACAACCAAGGTAGCGTACATGTGCATGTAGTGGCTGGAGAAGTCGAGCGCAATCAAGCTCTGGAAGACGATGGCCCATCGCGGGAAGGCCGAGGACAAGAAGACAAGCAAGCACGAGGTGGTGCAGCGATCCGTGACCATATCCAGGACAGCGCCAAAGCGAGTCGACTGGTTGAAGGCTCGGGCAGCATATCCGTCGAGAGCGTCAAGCAAGCACGAAACGCTGTAGAGTAGCGTACAGGTGCGAGGGTGCAATGGCATGTAGTAGAGGGAGGCAATAGCAAGGACGATTCGGCAGTAGCCTAGCAACCAGTATCGTTAGCGACAGTTGATGAGTTTCCCGTCTTTTCCATGGAATCTTGCCCGTCCAGCTTCACCGCGTACCTATGATGTTGGGCCAGAACAGAAAGATGTTCTCGTCGCTGCCAGAATCAGAATCCGAGGCTTCCGGCGCATCGTGGGCCGAGCCATTGCCGTCCACGACGGCCGGGGAGCGTTCGTCATCAGAGACCTGCTCCAGCTTTTCCTGGGCAGCTCTTCTCCGAGTCCTGGGTGCCGACATGATGATCGAGTCTGAATGTTTCTATCACAAAATCCGTGCCGCTAATGTGGGAGGGGCAAACCGCGCTGCCAGCAAGCTCGCGTGATTGCGGGCCGAAGGTGCAGCGTGAGTCGGCGACTTCTTTATATGGGCAGGGCCTGGGTTAAGACTGGAGGCGAAAAAAAAATGACAACGGTATCGAGGAGAGAGGGGTCGCCGGTCGACGCTGCAGATGAGGTGGATCACAGCGGGGAAGAAAGGATGGAGAAGCAGAAGATGAGAGAAAAAGGGTGCCGTTGAATGGAAGATATACAAATGCCTGGGCGAAGGAGCGGTTGGAAACGTCCAGACGAGTTAAGGAGAGCTTAATTGGAAAAGAAGAGCTACTTGTACTAGCAGACCATAGTGGCGGACACGGTGTCGCAATTTGAGGTGGTGGCTGTCAGAGCGGTGCCAGAGTCGTGCTCGGAGCTTCAGATTGGCGCAATCTGCTGCCGGATACACAGGGCGATAGGCCGCTTTGGGTTAGATAGTACGCGCGGATTTAGATTTCCGCGATAAAGCTTAGCATCCATCGTTCTGTAGCGTAAAAGGCCGTTGATGTTGCAAGGCGCCTACCTATACGTAACTCGAGGCCTCATTTCGACCTACCTTTGCATCAATGATCCGGTGCTGAGCGCGCATGACCGTTGCCTCGTTCTCTGAGAGAGGATTGGAGGTTGTGTCCAGCCACAGCATCGCCGACGCAAGGCATCTGCAGTCTGTGCCTATTATTCAGGCCTGAGCACGAGTAGAGCAAAGAGACTCGCCAGAGGCATCTCCACTATTGGTGGCTGAAGCTGCCTTTCCGCCTTCTCAGCCTCCTGAACAGCGCATCGTCACCTCTTGGCTTCATCCGCCGTAGCTGTTTTGATAGGCAGGCCAATTTTACAGCCCCGGTCAGCAATCTCGGGATGGCGCCGCAGGTCCGTGGGCAATATATTCGCGGACATTCAGCCCTGTAGACGTCACCGGGCAAGGCCTCAACTCTGCCTGGTGTCACCCGAAAGTCCGGGCAGACCCGGGTTTGGTTGGTATCTGTAAATCCGCATCAATACCCGTCCAATTCTGATACTCCGCGGCAATATATAATCTATTGCTTTAGCTAATCAGTCGATGCGATAATTGCTTAATTGGGTTATTTCATATCTATGGTCTTATACATAGTCATAGTAATAATCGCATCATACATGAGTTGCACTTGACGGCTAAATGTAGATACTACACGCGCTTACGAGGCTCCGGATTTGGAACCGGAGAATCTGCAATGCAACTGTGGGTGCAAACTGGAGATATAGGCTCCCGAATCTAATAGCAGCGGCGTATTCTAGAACCTACCTATATTCGTTATTTTACGCCGATTTGCGAGAGGCTTTCATTAGGGTAATAGATGGCCGTTGAATCACTCGTATACGAAAGTATAAAGCGTCGGCGTTGTTCGGGATCTTACTTAAGCAAGTTCTGTGTAAAAGTTTCATGCCCCGATCCATACACCCCTCTTTCCCTATCCTATTGTAGTAATGCCTGGGTATCCTCAGCTACATAGCCTTTCTTTCAATTCAAGGCTCTTCTAATTTCTCTCATCGTGATACATTTTCAACGCCACTGTATTTTACTTTGATTGTTGAAAATGGCGCAGCTCATCACTTTGGCAACATGCTCTCTCAACCAGTGGGCACTGGACTGGGAGGGCAACCTTGCTCGAATTCGCACAAGTATCCTCAAAGCCAAAGAAGCCGGAGCTACATTGCGAACTGGTCCTGAGCTGGAAATAAGCGGTTATGGATGGTGAGTTTTAAGACTACCTCAATAAGTCCTCTATAGGGATAAGATGTCAAAAATTATAGCTCTCATTTGGTCGATCAGTCACTAATGGCGCAACAGTCTTGACCACTTTCTGGAATCCGACACTTATGATCATTCCATGGATATGCTATCAAAAATTCTGACGGATACTTCTCTCCACGGCATTCTACTTGATATAGGTTTACCGGTCATGCACCGCGGATGTCGATATAACTGTCGCGCAATTATTCTTGATGGAAAGCTGCTGTGCCTCCGCCCCAAGATATATCTAGCCAACGATGGGTGAGTTGCAGTGTTGTTCTCTGGATGAGTCATCTCCACACATATGTTGAGGTTTACCAGGTTCCCTTAAACATAACATTATCGTGATGCGATAATGGTTATAGCTGACTTTTTCTCTACACAGAAACTTTAGGGAAAACCGATTCTTTACTCCCTGGAATCGGCCTAGATATGTTGAAAAGTACAACCTTCCGCCTCAAATCCAGCAACACCAAGGAACACGACAGATCCCCATCGGCGACGTCATTTTATCTCTTAATGACACGACTCTTGCCGCTGAAACTTGTGAAGAACTCTTCACCCCTCAGGCGCCACACATCAACATGTTTGTCTCTTTCGCTGCAGGTGTAGTAGCCATCTACTTATTAACTCTTTTCCAGGGGTCTAAACGGAGTTGAAATATTTACAAACAGCTCTGGGTCGCATCATAGCTTGCGAAAGCTCAACGAGCGGATTTCTTTGATCCAAGAGGCTACGCGGAAAAACGGTGGCATCTACCTCTACGCAAACCAGTCAGGTGTGTCTGAGATTATAGTCGCTTATGCGGCCGTTCTCTTACTGACTATCTACAGGCTGTGATGGCGATCGTCTCCTCTACGATGGCTGTTCAATGATTGTAGTCAACGGTGACATTGTGGCTCAGGGCGCGCAATTCAGCTTGCTAGATGTTGAGGTGGTGACTGCGACAGTCGACCTCGAGGAAGTGCGAGCCTACCGCTTCGCCCCATCTCGCAATTTCCAAGCCGTGCAAGCACCAGTGTACGAGAGAATAGAGGTTGACTTTACGCTCTCTCACGATAACCTCAGAATTCTTGAAGTCCCGACTCCCACAATGCTCCCAAGATACCATCTTCCAGAGGAGGAAATTGTAGGTCTTTTTTTTTTTTTAATCTTTTTGGTCCGAAAATTTTACAAAATGGCGTTTTCAATCCGAAGAGGGCCTCAAATGCCTAGCCAGAAGAACTATTGCTAATCGTTGATGTTTCGTAGGCTCTTGGTCCAGCATGCTGGCTTTGGGATTACTGTAAGTCTTCTGACAAAGCTCTATATACATCTATCTATTATCTATGTTATTCTCTACTAACTATTACACAAAGTACGACGAAGCAAAACTGCAGGCTATCTGGTTCCTCTATCAGGAGGTATCGATTCCTGCGCGACGGCTGTCATCGTGTTTAGCATGTGCCGACTCGTAGTCCAAGCCGTCAAGGATGGCAATCCAGAAGTAATTGCAGACGTCAAAAGGCTCGCTGCGTTCTCTGATAAATTGCCTGATACGCCTGAGGAATTCTGTAATCAGATCTTCCATACCGTCTTTATGGGAATGGCCGCTCAAAGCAGCAAAGAAACTCGACAACGTGCCAAGGATCTTGCCAGCCGTATTGGTAGCTACCATACAGACATGAACATTGACGACACTTTCCACGCCACGAAGAACTTGCTCACGCAAGGCACAGGATTTGAACCCAAGTTCAAAGTTCACGGAGGATCAGTCGCTGAAAACTGTATGTGCTTCCTCCTATGTTTATTTCGGCACTACTAACAATTTTAGTGGCCTTACAAAATATCCAAAGTCGCTCTCGCATGGTCATCGCCTACTATTATGCGCAGATGCTGCCGACCGTCCGGCAACGACCGGGAGGAGGCGGTCTACTGGTTCTTGGATCCAGCAATGTTGATGAATGCCTGCGAGGATGTAAGTAGTTGCGAGTCCTAACTCCCTATCTATAAATGTGCTGACAAAAGTCAATAGACCTCACAAAGTACGACTGCAGCTCCGCCGATCTTAATCCAATCGGCTCTATCAGCAAATCTGACCTGTGAGAAACTTCTCCACGCAAAATGTCATGTGTTGGTAGAAGAATTACTGACACTGCACTTCTAAAGTAAACGCTTCATTGCTTGGGCAAGTAAAAGCTTTGACATGCCTATTCTGGACGAGTTCATCCACGCCATTCGTGAGTCAAACAGTCTACAAACTATAACTCGTTCCCATTTCACTAACGACCAAAATAGCAACGGCTGAACTCGAGCCCATTACCGAAACCTACGTACAAAGTGACGAAGGTAAGTGTTAAAATGACAACGTCTAGAAAAGAGGGCATAAACTTACAATATCGCAGCTGATATGGGCATGACCTATGACGAATTATCGCGCTTTGGTGTAAGTAAATCAACTGCAGCTAAACTAGCAACAACTAGCGCTAATATTGCATCACAGTCACTACGTAAGCAGAACAAGCTCGGACCATATGGCATGTTCCTGAGACTCCTCAACGAATGGGGCGGCGAAGGCAAATTGAGCCCTCGCCAGATCGCCGACAAAGTAAAAAGATTCTTCTTTTTTTACTCCATTAATCGCCATAAGAGCACGGTAGGTACACCGGCTTATCACGCTGAATCTTACTCCCAAGATGATCACAGATTTGATCTTCGCCCTTTCCTCTACCCTCCCACGTTCGAGAGCTGGTCATTCAAGAAGATTGACGAGAGGGTGGCGTCGTTGGAAAAGGCCCTGGAGCGGAAACAAGCCAAGGCATAAACTATGTTTGAATAGATTTCTTAAGAAGAGTAAAAAGAGATGGTTATAGACGATATGTGATTGACTGTCTTGTCCAGTCTTGTGGCTGAAGAGAATACTCCGTATTTGGCAACTTACCTACTCCAACTCATAGGATCACCCTAAATAACAGCCCCCAGTACAGTTGCCAAGTACTAACCAATTACAATTAAACCAATGACTAGACAAGGTTTTTATACGGGCGTTTTCTCGCCTGGCCCCTCTACTTAATCCTTGCAACATCGCTTGTTATACTGATAACTATCTGATCAAAGCCGCCATTCCCATGACAGTCGGCACAATATCAGAAATAGTTCCCAAGTACAGCCGCTAGCTTATAACTACAGATACACTTGGTTATAGACAGCCTATAACACTTGGACTAAACATTGTAGTGAACACCGTAGCATATACTATGTCGACAACAGCATGAGTTGTGATACGAGTTACAGACACCGAGCAAGCGATCCTCAACGCGTTTACATCTACATCAAGACAAAGGCTCGTGCGAACTGCCAAACCCGAACCCAAATAGGGCTTAGGCATATGCAGGTCGGTATTTGGAGAGTCAAATGCACATGCAGGTCGTTATTTGGGGAAGCTCAACCAACTCACAACACCTCGCTTGCGTAACGCTCAAAATCCGGCGTTGCTATTGATAAGTCAACGGAATAATGCCCAA